GACGGCTAGCGCAGATAGCCCTCGTGTAGCTTTGCGCGAAATTCAAAACAAACAAACAAACTTATAGATCGTCGGACTAATTAGTAGATAATGAAAGCTCATGTTTAGATGTATTTTGTTTGGTGTAATACAAAACCAGTGCTTGGAAAGGGCTACATATTACCTCTAAATCAATAACTTCTGAAAGAAAAATGAACAGCATTTCCTTTGTGTTTATGAATTCTAGTTATTATGGTGGCAACTGCCGATTCGGTTTTGGTGCACCACCATATGGTTTAACTCTTTGAATATTTAAGCCTCGTTGAAATCCGCTCCAGAGAGTAATCCTTCATTAATAGCTAAGACAAAACTAATAGTAGTACTACGAATACGTTTTCAATAAAAAAGAAAGAAAACGTAACTTAAATAATCGCATGTAATTAATACTTAACAACGAGAGTTGGAAAAAGTGGCCTAGGTTTTATCATTTTTTAAAGTATGAGTTTAATTTTCAAATCAAGATGCATCAACCCTATACTATGCTAGAAAAAAAACAACCAAATTTAGAAACCATCAAGTTTGCGTGTGTTTTTTTTAACTAAATAAAAATTCATCAGCTGCCGTTCATCAGAACCTCTATGTTCTGTTGATATACTGGAAACATCAGTAAAAAAATAAACAGAAATCAACATGTTTATCAAAGCTAACCTGATTGAAACCGGAAAAGACTGTGTCCTTCGGATATTATCATCCTTGAAATATTTCTAATTCCCAGACTATCTACCAGGTGAGATTTGTAGAAGGACATCTGGCGGTTATTAAAAGTTATAAGAACTTTATTTGTGATCGTTGACTTTTAAACCTTAGAATTAAAATTCATTATAGGGTTTTAATGCCAACACATAAAAAGAATGTTTAAGTATTATGAATTAGTCTTTATTTCTGTTCAACGTGTGTAAATGCAAAGCTGTTTAAAGAAAAAATTCACGCTAAGAGCCTTGTATAAAAATGAGACGATTCCGAAATATAGCGTAAGCAAATAGGCAGAAAGAGCAAAGCTAATTCATCTTCATTCACTATTAAGACGTTACGAGCATTAGAGACTTAAGATCCCTTTCAACAACAGTGATACTGTTATTTTCGACAACGGTCATACTGCTGCTCGAGTTTCACTTCTTTCCTTCTGATTAGTTTATTTTATAAAGGAAAATAATTTAAAAAACGGTAGTGGGCACTAATTAATTTCCAAGGACTTCTAATGGAAATATACATTTGACCCATCTACTATTTGGGGGTGGGTGGGGAGAGCTCAATTAAATCTGGTTAGCAATTGAATTATAAACTGATTTTGAAAGCTGCTATATCTTACTGTATTATTTAACATTACGAAAAACCTTTTAACTCCTAATTTCGTATCGATTAGCGAGCCAAAAGTTGATGGACATGAATTAATCTGAATGTTAATATATCTAACTTATGTGATTAAAACGAGATTTAGAAAAGTGATTTTTCACCCGCGAACTACAAAATTTTAAATTGTTCATAGAATTAAGTATTAGAGCTCGGTATTTTACTTAAGAATTTACCCAACTATATTATATTGCAAGTGTTCCACTTGTAAAATATGGTACTGAACGTCATCGAAATTACTCAAATATATGTTGAACGTAACTGTAAATGTAGTATTGAACTCGGTCGTAATTTCTCAACTATATGACAGTGTAAGTGTTATTCATACAAAATGTAGTAGTGAAGGTCATTAGAATTACTCAACTATATAACTGTAAGTGTTCTAGTTGTAAAATGTGGTATTGATCGTCGTCGGAATTACTTAACTATATTATGATGGTATTAGAGTTCTAGATGTAAAATTTTGAACTACTAACCAGAGGGAAGGCAGCCAACTAGCAGTACTAGCCACCATAATTTTTGCGTCTCTTTGAAATTAATAACGGGACTGATTCTCACTTCTATAACGCGTCCACAGCTGAAAGTGCAAATCGTGTCCAACAGCATCTCGTTACTTAACATTTCAGTGATGTCAATACCATTGAAACAACATATTTAACTTTGTCAAGTTCAAACGATACTGCTGAAAAATCTTCAATTATTTCCTGCTATTGTAAAGTCTGTGTTTAGTTTATTGTCTGGTGTATTGTTAACGTCATTATAGACGCCATTTTGCTCTTCGAGTGCAAACATTTTGTTTTTTGGAGTTTAACGACCCTAGGCAGTTACAGTAAAAATTACTGGCAGACCTTAAAACTACTCTTTATCTAATAAATTACAAACGGTTTATGTCCACTAGGAGTTATTTAGTAAGGTTTGGTTGCTGTAACAAAAGACAGCGAGGAGAATCAATTAAAGAAACTACGAGTGAAAGTAAAGAATGTAATGTCAACCACAGCATATCTGCTTTATTCAATGCCGAACAGACCTTTGGCTCAATGCAAATTGAAAAAGGGAAACTATAACTTTTATCAATTTTATACATCAGAATTAGGTTTTATGATTTCTTTCTTTTAATACAAATTGTTTATAATCATTATTTATTTATTTACCCGAAAGGGGGCCGAAGGTCACCTGGAAGGGTCACCTGTTTTCACCACTCACACCACTGTGTTGTCTGTCAGTCAGTCAGTAGACACTGAAATTACGTCACATAAGGGACGTTTAACGTTGCAATGTGTGTACTGTCAGTAAAACGTAGCATATGCCGTGAATCACGAGAAGAATTATGTATTATGTAGGCTACAACACAGCATGGCATATGAACTTCAAAAGCAAGAAATAAAAATTATTGTTACTCTTAATTTTGGTTTTATTTACTCTTGAAACAGAACACTTTCGGGGACCTTGTGGAAATACATCTCGTTTATGTTACTTGAATTGACTTAATTAAATTAGAAGAAGTGACGAATCAGTAATCTACTCGCCTTTATGATCCTGGAACGGGCCAAGTGACCGCTGAATCAACGACAGAACATATAAGTGAAAGTAAAGAACGTCAACCATTCTATATCCGGGTCAGCGGGACACAGTAGTCAGTGCTATGTATACTCCTTCTCGGAAGGTTGTGAGACCGAGGATACTCTTTACCCTAATTGTTTCAGTTGTATAATGAGTACCAGCTATTAGCAGAGGGAATGTGTCACCATCCTCATCTGTTTGTGCCATTGTCTACATATGGAATGGATTTGCATAGTATATCTGCTTTATCCAGGTTAATGAGGTCTTTGGCTTAAACCCCTGACTCATTAGGCCCGCTGGGATGCAACAGACACAGTAGAGGGCGAAGCGCTATTTATATCATCAAATTGCTCGAACAACAAGTGTTTCGATGTGAACTAGATTAAGTTGATGAACTCTTAATATATATATATGTATATATATATTAATTTCAAAACACACCCGTTTGTCCCAGGATATATACCAAAACGCGTCGTTTTAGAACAGTATAATTTTCGCATATTTAACAAAGGGGTTTGTTTATTTGTAATTAAGCACATAGCTACACAATGGGCTATCTGTGCTCTGCCCACCACAGGTATCGAAACCCGGATTCTAGCGTTTTAAGTCCGCAGACATACCGCTGTGCCACTGGGAGGGGCTAACAAAGGGGGTCTTACAAACTATTGAAGATCTGTTATTTCTGATACACACGCACCTACATAGATGACAAAATACTAAAGTAAGCAGGTAGAAAACGCATGGTCCTTCAGTGGGTAAGACTGATGCTACTTAAATAAAATTGAATTAGGCATTATAACTAAAAGAACCTTGAAGAGATTATTGGATGGAGAAGAGCCTGTACCAAACTCATCAAGCGTAAATGTAAAAATTATCTTATTTACATTTTGTACCTAAGGTTAAAAATAAAAGTACTTGAAAAGGTCACATGCAATAATTCAGAATAATAAGGTATAAAGTGCAAGTGGTCGCCTCCTTGTGGTTGGTGGTTCGTAATTATGGACGACGAAATGCTACCTGGATGAATGGTGTTAATATCCACGACTTAACTCCCCAATTGAAGGAGAGTCGTTGTTATATTCCTTTAGCATACAAATAAATAAATAGAATAATAAATAATTGAAATGTTTCAAGTCTTTCAATTAAAAACTTTGTTCCAAAACTAGAATTAAAAAACAAACATAGCAAAAGAGATCGACGAGTCAGCTCAAGTAAATATTAATTTTGAATTTAAGAAAAATTCTAGTGATTTGTCTGTTTATACACAAATAAAAAATGTTCTTTGTATCCCGTTGATTTAAACATAAAATGTAAGAAAATGAATTTGAGTAACAGGTGGCACTTGTTTCACCATCTTATCAAATAAAGGGATGAAAACTTGGCTATCTTTTCAAATCTGTTATACACAGTGAATGTTTATTTAATATATTTGTATATAAATATCTTCCGGTCAGGATAAGTTTACCTGATTAGGTGACGTGAGTCACATAACCGCCGCTACGAGATCCCAGAGTACAGTTTGGGTGTGCCGCAAGACCACAAACCCACGTGCGTGGCATGCGTGCTGAAATTTGTTGGAACCGGTTGCTCTTACTAAGCGGTAAGCTGTTTACGTTCGGAACGGCTGTTTGGCAAGCTTGTCTTTAGGGTTTCTTCTTGAGTAAGGCGGAGTTTTCCCACACTCTGGCGCGTTCCACAGCTTGCTGATAAAAAAGTATGGCACGTGCAGTGCAGCAGCCGCGGCAGATGTCTAGCTGGGCGCTTTGATTTACAAGTTGAGGGGGGAATGCTTCCTTATCATAAAGATGGGAGGAAAAGAGGGGGGGATAAAATGTGCACCGGAATGTTCCACGACCAGTCAGCAATCACGTGTCGCGAGCTGTTACAATAACACCTATCAGCAAACCTGCGTGCTTGCGCTCGGATTGGTCCAGAGCAGCGTGGGAAAGTGTCGCCCCTTCGTATCTCATGCCTTCCGCTACTACACACTCCATTGACCCCGGCTAGTAATAAAACCTAGATTCCTTGGCACTGTCGTATAGTTTCTTATGCCACGTGCTCACGTCTAGTTGGGCACGTTCTTGTACTCGATTGCTACATACCGTCAGATTTTCTTTGGCTGCGAGCCAACTAGCTACTGTGGGTTACTTTAGTGAACTTATATATATATAGTTCAACAAAACTTAACTATTTTCAGAATTACAATGAAGACGATGCCTTCAGAAAAATCACCAATGAAAACTATTGATAATCGTAGAGTAAGTATCAATTTAATTGAATTTTATTCGCGTTGTTAACATGTATTGTGACTATTACTTGCTATCGGAGATTTAGATTTTAATATCTTACAAAATAGACCTTATTACTTCATTATTCGAAATTTGATTATATGTGGTTAGAGTTTTTGTAATTTACCTGTTACTCATAATTAATAT